ACAAAGGACTTATCACGATGCCTGCAGACCAATTTATGATGTCTCCGTCGTTGACGTTCGTGAAGCAAGTCACGTGGATTGGTAAGAGCTAGAGGTGAACATGGCAGAGATCGTGGCAAGACGGCCACATGTGTGCAAGGCTTTAACTAAGCCACCATAAAATCAAGCACATGTTATGCTAAGTGCATATAAAGGTACTATCAAAAAAAGTAGCCAAAATTAAGACCTCAACATTTCAAAGGCCGATCAAATTTTTGATCTTTTTGAAGGCCGATCATGGTCGCTTGGTCATAAGATTCGGTCAATTGTAGAGCTAAAGAATAAGACATACTATAAATGACATAATTTGTGGAGCCATTCTATTAAAAATTATGTGGTGTCGCCATTCAAGAAAATTTGACTGAGAGCCACTTAATCTTCAGAGACAAGGGAAAGCCAGAGATAGGGGTCAATAAAATCCTTTTCAAAAGACAGCCGCCATTAACATGGTGGAAGTGGAACAAGAAAAAAATCCCAGGAATAAAGTTGACTTGGACAAGGACAGGTCAATAGATGATGAAAAGCTAAGGGGAAAGAAGGACGATGCACCCTAAGATGAATCATCAAAAGAGGACTTTGGGGGTAAGCCACGCATATCACCGGGACTCTAGGAGCAACTCGACATGGTCAAGAACGATTTATGTTCCAGGTGAAAAGATTTTTACAGGATAATTTTGAAGCATGAAGTCGTCAAGAGGAGTGAGTTGAGTCGTCCAAGAGGCTACGGGAAAAGAGGCACTACAAGGGAAACCACTATGAATGGTAGGGCTAGTGGTTGTCGCCTAAGCAAGGCAACAAGGATTGATCAGGCAAGTTTCCGAGGCTGAGTTATAAAGGGCATAACATAAACATACCAAAGCCTTCAAGGGGACGACCAGGACTGAAATACGATGAGTATGCCACAAGTTTGGCACCCGATCAGCCCATGAGGACGAAGGGTTATCGGCATTAACCAAGGATAGTGAAACTAACCAAGCCACTAGAGGGTCATTGGTATGTAGCCCAGCACCCAATGTTCCCACAGTACCATTAGCCTTATCCTCTGTTGAGATCACAAAAGCATAAGAAACAATGCATATAGGTAGAATTGTGCAAGTGAGAAGAAGAGAAACTTTAGGCTCGAGAAGCCTAAGAGACATTTCATCATCTAGAGCCCAAGATTAGGGAGATTATATCCCAATTCCTTATATCCCCAACTACACAGCGTCCAATGTGCTCGAAGAAAGCCACAGCTATGGAGAAAGGAAAAAAGAAGGTGGAGCCCGAGCCCACACACAAGGAGAGTTTCGAGGAGTAGATGGTTAAAAGAGTGGTAGAACAAATGAGGATCGTGCTTAACATCCCCCTGGAGACTTGCAAGGGAGGGAAAAAATATGACCATACAGACCCTACCGACGGAGACGATAGTGTTGGAGATGAATCCATCCAATTTCACATTTTAGGGTAATGTCTATTTATGATCTTGGGTTGTTGTCAACATCATTCAAAAGGGACCTCAAGCAGAATCCCTAGAACGATATGTCAAAGACACGGGGATGCCAAGATCAGCATTGAGTGTCTAAGTGCAAGGAAGAGCATCATCTCAAGGGAGGTCCGAGCTAGGAAGAATGGACAAATAAAGTGTCACTTCCCAACATCCTTAAGTGTTAGCCGTTTAGTAGACCTATACGGCCCATGACTCAACATTTGAAGCTGATATACATTCGAGCACACCGGGAGGGAAACCTTTCAATAGGGTCTTAGTGGATAATGAAGCAGCTATCCACATTCTTCCCAAAATGAATATGAAAAAGCTTGGGAGGAAAGAAAAGGACCTAGTCCCCAACGATTTAATGATGAGGGGATTCAAGAGGAAGTTAACAAGATAGTGCGAGTCCTACCCATTAAATTGGCTATCAATAGTAAGACCAACATTACGCCATTCTTTGTGATTAATACAATGATGTCCTACAATGATCTCTTGGGTTGAGACTAGATCCATTTGAGCGAGTGCATTCCTTCAACTCTCCATCAGTAACTGGTGCTATGAAGTTTGGGAGATTTTGAAGTATTGGAAGCAAAACAAATGCCATTTATAGCGAATGTTCACGTGGCTGATGCTTGGTTCTATAAAGAAAGAATAGGGCCCATAATATTTCAAGGCCAGGAAAAGTACAAAAAGCCAAGCGAAATTCTGTTTCAGAATGACTTGAGGTCCAATGAGATATGTCAAATAGAGGAAGAAGTCCTTCAATCCACTAATGTGCAAAGGCTGAACAATACAGAAGAACTTGAAAGCTCAGTTAATGATGGAGCTTGACAATAGTAAGCAATAAAGGCAAGCTGTAAGGGCCTGTATCACCAGGATAAGAGTTTACCTGGCAAAAAAAGGGTCCATGCACTACACGCGACCAGTAGCTAACAAAGCACCATTAACATGGTGCAATGTGAGGAAGACGAATCTAGGCAGATTACCTCATGAGAGTTCATCAAATTAGATGAAATCGATACAACTCTCACTAAGCTTGACGAATTAATAGAGGTTCAGGATTCACTACTCGAAGTTAACCTAGGTAGGCCGAGGGAGCATCAACCAACCTTTGTCAGCAAGCTGCTAGGACTAAAATTTTAAGCACGGATTATACAGCTGTTGAGAGAATACTGTGACAGCTTTGCCTAAAGTTATGAGGAAATAACAAAGCTAGACTCAACAGTAATGGAACATCGACTACTGATCAAGGAAGGATACATGCCGATTAAGTAGGCCCTAAGGTTGATCTCCTAAGAAGTAACTTTTTTGGTGAAGGAAGAGATTGAATGCCCTCTAAAGGCAAAGTACATCTAGGTGGCATGGTACATAGAATGGATATCTAACATCGTGCCAGTCATGAAGAAGACCAATAAGATCAGAATTTGTTGCGACTACCGTGACCTTAACATGGCAACTCCCAAAGATGGGTATGTCATGCCATTAGCAGACCAGCTTGTAGATATGGCCATCGTGAACGTAATCATGTCATTTATGGATAGCAACGCAGCTACCATCAAATCTTCATTGTGGAAGAGGATCAACACAAAACTATTTTCTGATGTCCTGGGTCAATTGGGACATTTAAATGGAGAGTGATATCTTTCGGACTGAAGAACACTGGGACCACATACTAGAGGGCCATGAGAACCATCTTCCATGACATGATCAGTAAGGTCGTAGAAGTGTACATTGGTGACATCACAGTTGAGACTTAAGACATGAAAAAGCATGTTAATGATCTAAGGTCAGTCTTTGAAAGGATGTGTGTCCATCAGCTAAAAATGAACCCACTAAAGTGCGCCTTTGGGGTTATAGTTGGGTACCTCCTTGGATTCTTGGTGCACTAGAAGGGGATTGAGGTAGACAATAACAAGATGAAGGCCATCATAAAGGCCGCACCTCCAAAGACCAAGAAGGAGCTTCAGTGCCTAATCAATCAAGTTAATTTCCTTCTGCGATTCATTGCCAATTGTGCAGGAAAAGTACAAGCATTCTCTCCGCTTTCAAAGCTAAAAGGTGCAAAAGAATTCAAATAGGAAGCACAACATCAAGAGGCATTCCGTCAGATCAAGAAATATTTGGCGAGCCCACCAGTTCTTATGCCACCCATTAAGGGTAGGCCACTACTATTGTACTTATCAGTCGCACATGAGTCTATTGGATAGTTAATGGATTACAATAATAGCTTACGCAAAGAGCAAGCCATTTATTATTTAAGTAGAATACTAACTCTGGTCAAGACAGGTTTTAAATCAATCGAGAAACTTTGTTTAGCATTGTACTTTGCATCATAGAAGCTGAGAGTTTATATGATTTTAGTTGTAGTGTATGTTGTTGCACAAACTAGTTTAATTAAGTACATGCTAACGAGGCCAATTATGAAAGGCCGAATTGGAAAATGGGTTTTGGCCTGATGGAATTTTCACTCCATTGCTTGCTATAGCACATATTAAAAGGCCAAGCCCTAGCCGGCATTTTAGCAGTCCACCATTTTATGGAAGTGGATGGAAGTGGAGCAAGACATGAGGGAATCACTTGGCTTGATGGGAGTACTCGTGGTGTCATTAACGTCATGCACTAAAACAAAAATTATTTTTTGCGACGATTTTTTCGTCGCCAAATTAAAAACAAATCGTCGCCAATTATTTTTTGCGACATTTTTTTTTCGTCGTGTGTTCGTCGCAGAAAGTATTTTGCGACGCAAATTTATTTTCATTGTAAAAAAAAAAATTTGCAACAAAAAAAAAACGTCGCTAAAAGTAAAAAATAGCTAAAATTTATTCCACCAGCGTAAAAAATAAAAAATAATAATTTAATTAATTTTTTACGACTTAAAAAAATTGTCGTGAATAATATTTTACATAAATAAAAAATTTTAAAAATAATAATTTAATTAATTTTTCGTGACGTAAAAAAATCGTCGCAAATAATTTTTTTATAAATAAAAAATAATAATTTAATTAATTTTTAGCAACGTAAAAAAAATCGTCGCGAATAATTTTTTCCTAAATAAAAAATATAAAAAATAATAATTTAATTAATTTTTTGTAACGTAAAAAAATCGTCGCAAATAATTTCTTACATAAATTAAAAATGTAAAAAATCATTGAATAAATACATTTGCGACGTATAAGAATCGTCGCAAAAAAGCTTGTTCCTGCAATTTTTCGCAATGATTTTTATTTCGTCACAAAAAAACTCATTTTTTTTTATTTTACATAAATAATGATATTCCAATAAAAATTTTCACCTGTACACCAATAATACAAGTGTTCAATAAAAAACTAGCACAATTAATACATTTCACATCTTTTTTAAAAAAAAAAATTATTTCTAAAAAGAATGAATTACAAGAATCAAAGAACAAGAAGTTCTAAAAATAGAAAAAATGGCTTTAATCCTTCAAGAGGATTTAAATCATCTCTAATTACATTAATGTCTCTTAAACTTGAACAACTCCAACGGTCCAGCTTCATGCCTTGAAATACCATCTCCAAGCTCAACACTATCCAAGATCTGCATAATCAAACTGACCACCACACAACCATTATGCAGTTTACGGCATGCAATTTTGAAAATTTCCTGTATTTCCTACATGAAAATGGCCATAGCACCTGTCTAGCAACAAAATTGAACCGATAGTTTGTCATACATTTCATCACATCAAATTGCATGCATTATTGCCACACAAGGCTTTGATTTTGTGAGGCGAAGGATAATAGACCATAACGTTGCAAACAAAGAAGCAATAAGGAGTGATAACCCTATATCACAGAAATATTTGCATCAATAGCAGAGTATGCATGTCCATTTTGCTAGATAGAGCAAATAGCAAGTGGCGAAAATATGCTTCTCTTCCACATAACATCCAGTAGTGAATTGTCAATGTGCCATGCTATCTCAAAGTACAAACTGTGCAAAAACAAACCTCACTCTTGTGGGCAGATCAATCAAAGCAACTATTATGTCTCCCTACTCACAGTTCATCAGTTCATGTTTTTCAATTGTTGTACTATGGTATTCATTTCCTTAGTTTTTCTATTTTAGACCTAAATAGCTCTGTTGTAGAGGACACCACCTACGCTAAAAAGAGACCAGCATCCAAGTTGCAGCTACACTAGTACTAATTTTGACAAGCTTTTTTACCATGGGAGAAAGATGCTACAATGCTTTATCAACCGTGACAACAACTTAAATATGTCACGGCATGGCAAACAGATTATTAGATGAAAGTTGTAACTTTAGATGAATCAAGTACTCTATGCATAGCTTCAAAGAATATGCCATCTCACAAACTTATATTAATTACATGACTTACTTGTTTCGGATTGAGAAAAGAGGCATGGAATTGGACTAGTGATGAGCCTAGCTTGTTTTAAGCAGAATTTGACTCCCAAGATAAAAAAAAAATATACTTCTCACAGGTAGAAGCTCAAAACTATATCAACTCTCTAATTACGCCATGTAACCCTATCCACCTTCTCTATATTGAGATTCATGGTGCTTTTTTCCTACAGAGTTAGAAAATAAGAGTTTACCCACAACAAATCATAGTTATTACATTTTTGAAAGATTGAAAAAGAAAAGGGATTCCTAGTTTTTCCTTTGCCACGAATTAAATAAGATCCAACACAAGACCATTGCCAAGAGTCAGATTTTTCTTTAATACTAAAACTATTAGGGCAACCATATTAAAGGAAGTGGAATTTGAGGAGGACCATTATGGGTTATCGAGTTTCTAATGATTCGTGAAGGAAACAGGATGACAAACACATGAAAAAATCAATAGTCTCACTTCTCCCACTTTATCTGTAGGGATCAGAACTTTGGTCCAGCCAAACAAAAAAGGAATCAAAGCCAAAACAGGCATATTTATCCTTTTTCAAATAGCTAAATGACCAGGAACGATGTTCTACATACATTATCTGGGGAAATAAACACATAATTCAATCAGGAAATTCAACAAACAGGTAGAGACACCTAGTTCAAGCACAAATTGATGTTGGCATATGATAATTGTAGTGCACAAAGTAGCAGATTGTAAGTCCTCACAATATCTTTATAACGTAACCCAGAAAATAGCACAGCAATGAAACAGAACGAAGCATGATAAAAAAAAGTAGAAAGCTACCTGGTCATAATCAATATAGCCAGTGCTCTCATTCAATCTGTATGGCATGGTCTCAAAAAGTATAGAGACCGCTGATATCTTCTTTGTGTCAGTCTGTCCAAATAAAGGAAATATGAGACTACATTTAGTATGCCAAAATCCAAAGGAAATATTATTTTATATTTTTCAATTTTCATATGCAGATGCGTTTCGAAATATAAAAAAATAGCAATGAATCCAAAGAAAAAAATAAAATTTTTGAGCAAATGTTACAAGTTACAATGTATACCACAAGATTACTGATAAAACCTTGCTATATGTAGATAGATAGATAAAAATGCAATTACCTCCCCACATTGCAGGATCCAACCGAAACGCTTCAGCACGTTTCTGACATAAGGATTCTGTCATGTCAATGTACCTGATAGCAGAAAGTCAATAAAGACTACACAGTGAAAATGGGATGAACTATGCATAAACGCACTAATGAAAAGGAAATCAACCAAAAAAAGAAGAAGTTGTGTGCACATGCTCATGCTAACTGATATTAGCAAGTATAATTATTAAGAAAAACAAGAAAGAAAGAAAAAACAAAAGTAGAAAGATACTCGTTTCCACCATAGTATCTTGCATCGGGATATCCTTCACTGTATTTGTTAGTCATTACAGACCCAACTACTTGCATCACAAAAACAGATGTAAAATTCTCTGAGGGAATGAGCTCAAGTCCCTATAAAAACACGGCATAAAAGTTCCATAAAACATGATAAGTTCTAGGTTCAAATGCAATTTCACAATCATGCTGAATAGGAATTCTAAATAGAAATATCCTTTGGTTGCTTAGAAATTGCAGGAACAGAAAAGGAACATTTAATTCTCCCTTTATACATCCAGTTGGCGCGCACACGTGCACACACACACACACACTCTCTCTCTCTCTCTCTCTCTCTCTCTCAAACATGTATACACAGAGTATGAGTACCTTCCATTGTCTCGCTTTCTCGAGCTCGATAATATTAGCAATCTCCGAATCGACAACCTCAAGCAAAGCATTCAACTGCTTTGGCACTGCAATTATTTGAAATTTTGATGTTAATTGAACACAGAATAATAATTAAAAGAACAAGTTATGTCAAGGAATTGAAAAACTATATCAAACAGTTTGTAGGCTTACCGTGACACCAGACTCTTGCTATGCATACAACTCCTAATTCATAAATTAAGGCGACTATCATTGAATATGATACACCAATGGCTAACCATGCTTCAAAAACTCCCCAAAAGTAGACTCATATTGGAGGCATTGCCCATCAGCATTAAAAAGTAACACAAAATGAAGTTTGGATATGTTTTTTCATTTTCTTTTTTTATTGTTTTCTTTTGTGTTTTGTGTTTTTTTTGGGTGGGGGGTTGGGTGGGGGGAGCACCGATATTAACACTAAGTTGATGAACTAAATTGGAGATATCACACATATACATGACTAGGCAGGTTAATCAAACAGCAACAATATCACAACAAAAAGAGAAAGAAAAGAAAAGGAAAGGTAGTAGTAGGTCGCTAAATGGAACCTTGTCTCTACAACTTTTGATTCGACTGCAAGTGCGACTTGCCAGTCCTCAAACAAATTAGGATACTCTTTTGGATCAGCCAAAGATTCTGAAGCTTTCTGGTTAACCTGTAGATGATATTTAACCATGATAAATGCTTTTCATAGATAATTCAGAGTTCATCATTCACACTGGTCAGCACATCATCTAGTAACAAAGATATTTCAAACAGGAAGCACATAACAGTAAAAGTGTTTCCATGGTGGAAGAGTTTTTTAAGCTAAGGCAATAGATGACCCATCTAAGGCAAAAGAATACCCTTCCAGTGGAAATGAGCAAAAGTTTTGAATCTCAATCTCTCCCCTTTCTCAATGGGTATGTCTCCAATCCAGCCTACTCTTGTCATCTAAACACAGGACATAACACACTTATAAGCTCCACTCGATTAGAAAATGAAGGAGTATTTTCTCACAAAAAGGACAAACGCACATTACATAAAATTAAATCATTTTACCAGTGTAAAAATTAACTTTTTTTATGCTGATCTCAAAATAGAGCAAGCCCATTTCAGTTCACTATCATGATCCAGATGGTATACTGGGGTTGGTAGTTCAATATATCCAAGCCCATTTCAGACACAGTACCATCCTGTTTTTCATCTTCAAGCACAACAAGTTTAATATCCGTTTCAGTTCACTATCATGATCTGAATGGTATACTAGGATTGGTAGTTAAATATATCCAAAATGACCTGAAATGAGAAACAGAGAAGAACTTCAGCTGTATTTTTGTGATTGCATAAAAAAAGTAAGACAATTAGCTCAAAGTTTTCTGATAGTGAAAACTTGGTCACTGTCCACAAAAAAAAAATTGATAAGTAAAATAGAGTTTCTACAAAAATTGCAAAGCCAAAAAAGGAATATCCTACATACCTTCACATAGCCCAGGTTCAGCAGTACCACAAAATTCACATTTACCATATTCAAGGAGCGGACCAAGAAAGGGATTTGAGAGTTGACTACCATGGTTGATAGGGTAGTCACTATTGGATGATGTGCGGTAGCAAAAAAAATCACAATAACCAAGCAGACCATATGTTGTTCAAAGTTCAAGTATCCCCAATATTGTGAATTTTACACAAAACCTACTTAAAATTATACAAACCCGTATTGCAAAATCCCAATTTTCCTTTCCTTACCTTACTGACATTTTCTCAGCAACCAGACATACCCCATGTTGACCAAAGGACTAGAATCGGCAAATTGAAATCATATACAAAACCAACATGCAAATACACCAAATCCACCTACAATCAAACAGACCCGCGTTCTAAACCCTAGTTTCATAAAGGAATATCCACAATATAAAAGTCAAGAGATTACTTTAGCTAAGACAACCACAATTTAGGGACAAAAAATAGACATTACTACCTAGTATGGACACTAACACCCAACAGATTATGTTTATACTTATATACATATAGAACACNTAAGACAACCACAATTTAGGGACAAAAAATAGACATTACTACCTAGTATGGACACTACCACCCAACAGATTATGTTTATACTTATATACATATAGAACACATGTGTGTGTGGGTTTATGCTTGCATATATGTTTGTGTACTTAAAAACACACACCAATGTCAATAAAGACACACACACACACAAAAAAGAAACAACTTGTGAAAAAATATCATACCTGCAGTGAAGTGATAGTGATAGAAGGTGTAGAAACTATTACCTTAGCTGAGAGTTGAGAAAGAGAGGGGTTTCTTCTTCACACCATTTGGGTTTCTTCGGACCGTCGGAGAGAGAGAGTGTGTGTGTGTGTGAGAGAGAGAGAGAGAGAGAGTGGAAGATACGGAAAATGGGTTTTAGACTCTACATCCGTGCATGCAGTGAGAGTGATTGGTGTTTTTTGTGTGGGAAGGGAATTACTTTCTGGAACCGTACAATGGCAGGCAAAGAGATATTGGGGTTAGGGAAGGGGGTTTCAAAAATCGAGAGAAGAGAGATTGAAACCTGATTCAAGCACTCACTCTAGAATTCNAAGATACGGAAAATGGGTTTTAGACTCTACATCCGTGCATGCAGTGAGAGTGATTGGTGTTTTTTGTGTGGGAAGGGAATTACTTTCTGGAACCGTACAATGGCAGGCAAAGAGATATTGGGGTTAGGGAAGGGGGTTTCAAAAATAGAGAGAAGATAGATTGAAACCTGATTCAAGCACTCACTCTAGAATTCAAAGATTGCCAATTAAAGCTAGGGTTACTGCTTCTCCACAATGTCGATTCAAGCTCGCAGTGGAATCCAAAGTTCAACTCATTCATTAATGGCAAAGAACTAGTAGAACTAGCGCTCGCTTTAATCTGTGTGTGAGGTGGTGGTGAGGTGTTGATGGGGCCGGAGGTGGTAGCTGTCTTTGGTTCGGATTGAGAGAGAGAGAGAGAGAGAGANTGGTGCCGGAGGTGGTAGCTGTCTTTAGTTCGGATTGAGAGATAGAGAGAGAGAAGCAGCTAACGAAGTATAAAGAGAGGGAACAAAGAGCGGCGGAATGAGATAGAAAAACAAAGAGAGAGGGAGAGGTGAGTGAGAGAGAGAGTGTGGAAAGTGGAAAGTGGAAAAGGGAATGTGAAGAAGGGGCCGTAGGGCCAAATGGACGTATTTAAATGCTCAAAACGACGTCGTTTTGAGTATAAATTGAATTCTGCTACAGATATAAAAACGTCTTTAAATATTAAATTTATTTAATACAAACATAAAAATTATTATCTGCGACGTATTCCTAAAAACGTCACAAAAAAATATTAATATTTTATTTGCTTTAATAACTAAAATTTATCAATTCCCGCCATCCCACGGGCCAAAAAAAATTGTGAGGGAAAAAAAGAAATTTGTGACAAAATTAAAAAAACGTCACAGATAGTAAACATTTAAATTAATCAAATAAACTTTATATTTCATTCAATTAACACCTAATTCATCAAATTAACATTCAAATTATCAAATTAACATGTAATTTCATCAAATCAACATCAAATTAACTTGTAATTTCATTCAATTAAAATTTAATTTAACAAATTAACACCAAATTAACATTCAATTCATCAAATTAATACCAAATTTCTTCTAATTAACATTCAATTTTTTTTTATAAGCATTTCATTTACTAAATTAACATTCAAATTCAACTAGTTAACATTAAATTAATCAAATAAACTTTCAATTTCATTCAATTAACACTCAATTCATCAAATTAACATTCATAGGTGAATGAACTCTCTAATTAAATTAAATAAAGACTTTGCGAGTGATTAATGGACTGGTCAGATAAAACATATACATGAACCTCAGATCTCTTGAGCTCAGATATTCATTGTTAGTGCAATATCACTTGGTTAAACAAGAAAAAAAAATCAATAATGCTATTACTGATTTAATCCACTATAGTTCTTGGATTGACAGTGAAGTTCATTGAGTAAACCTGATGTCAGCCACTATTATTTTTTAAGGAGAATTACACCCAAATTCTTTGAGGTTTGACACTTAACCACTTAGACCTTATGATATTTAAAATATTACACACAGGCTCCATGGGTTTGTACAGACGTAACACTAAGACCCCTGCTGTCAATGTTCATTAGTATATTCTTTAGTAAATTACACACAAACCCCTTAAAGTTTTTAGACGTATAAATACTTAAACTCATCAAGTTTAAAATGTTATAATAAGATCAAAAATACTCTAATCAAAAATAGAATATCAAATATTTTAAATTTTAAAACAAAAATTCATGTTCTATTGTATCATTTATTGAAATAATATTAAAAAAAATTTTAATTTTTTATTAAAAAAATCATAATTAGTATACAATTACACCATTTTAACGGGTGTAATTTTCACGTGCTCAACGTGTAATCAATCAATCAGAAAACCTAACTGTCTATCCATGTGAAAACCAAAGTGACATGAATTGAATACTTTAGAGATCAAATTGATAAAATTGATACATGTAGAACTAAACTGAAAATAAATATATATTTTACGGATGAAAAGTACTATAAACTCAATTTTTTTTTCTCTCTTATCAATTTGACCCCGTCAGCAATCCAACTGCGTACAACCACCATTTGAATTTAATTACTTGATTATTATTGTTTTGGGCAAGTAATTATTTGATTGTTTACGTTGTTAAATAGGCTAGAAAACTCTACTTTAATAATTGGGCAAATAGTAGTTTGCACCCCACAAATATTAAAAATATTTAATTTGTATCCTCAAAGATCAATTGTTTCAAATTGCACCCTCAATTATATAAATTAGTAGCAATATGACCCCAATCATAATGTTTGTTGGGATTTTCATCAAATTGTTTATCACATTAGATGCATGAGATGACTTTTGTCAGATTATGACGCTTCTTCTATTCACGTACGTCTCACATGTTTTCAATCCAATAAAAATCGCCCTAGATGTTGATGGGTCAACCCCAAATGACACAATTTATTCGGAAAGTCTAATCTCAACTTAAGAGCCCAACCTTATAAACACCTACCAAAACCAATATGGTCCAAGTCTAGTCAAAATCATTAGCTTGACTACGTCATCAAGAGAGAGCACGGGAACCTTTCCTGCACCGCCGAAGAAAAAGTTCACTCTCACCTCATCCTTGACCACATCT